CCACGCCCCGACCGAAAAAACAAACAAACAAACAAAAACCAACTACCCAGCAATTCTCAGTGTTACTCCAACACCAGAAAAAAAAATTATTTGAGCTGCCGGTAGGGTAAGATCTGACCGAGTCAGTTCGCTTCTTGGCAAGGACCTGATGTGACCATTCTAAAAACACGGTATCGGTACACAGCTCTAAAGGAACTGTAGTAACAGAGCAATTAGTTTTTAAATATAAACTAATATTAGTAATTAGGAGGGAATTCATTATTTTAAAAGGACTTAGTTATAAATATTACAGTTTTTCCTCAATGACAACATTAACTTCCCTTCTTTAAAATCGCATGCACACAAAAAGACTAAGGTTAAAAAACAAAACGCAGTATCAGATAGCAGAAGAGTAAAGTTACGGAGATAGCAATCACGTAAGCGACAAAAAGGACGGACACCTACCAGCTAACTGTCGGATACCTACTAGCTAGCTGTCATTTACTAGTTCACGTGAAATAACGGCAGTACGGCACTGCAATTTTTAGTGGGCCAGATATAAAGAAAAGATTAAAATGTGTCAGTGACTACTTTTTCTTCCCCACAAATCTACTGAATAAAGGTGAGAAAAGAGAACAAAAAAGTCCCAAAACTTTAAAGGCTTCATTGGGTTTACTTCTTAACTTCCCTATTAAGAGGAAATAATTTTCAAAAGACCACAAGAAACGCAAGTATAATTCCATGCCAAGTCTTGAAAATACAGTTATTCAGTTCTGCTCCTGTCATCATCATTAACAGTTCTGATAGATATACGAACTCCTATTCTACACTTCAAAAATACCAGTTCATGAAATAAGGTCACCGTTATACACCACTGTTTGGGAAACTGAGGCTGAGAAGAGTTATCTGAAGTGCCCCATAACTTGGGGACGTCCTGAATCAAATATCCAAACCTACTAATCACAGAGTCATATTCCCCTTATTCGTCAGTCTTTGTAGTGGATTTCGAAAGTCGCATTTCAACAATTTATTTCTATCTAAATATTTCTACTTGTCCCAGTTTTTCCCATGACACTTCAAAATTGTCCCTTACCCTTGCCAATTCCCCACTTTCTAAAATCACGCATGGCAGTGACCCTCTCCCGAGAGCCTCTCAGCCAAACCCACAGTGATGACAGAGGGGAAAGAGAAATTAAAAAGAAGAAAAAAAAAAAAAAAAAGGCAGTGAAAGGCCATCATCTTCCTCGAAGCCGAGAACCCCACCTCCAAGATAACACAGAAAAGAGATGCCATTTTCTTCCGTTCAATCCAAACTATACCATTATACTAATTTCTCCAGCGACCTTTCCTACCCCTCCCTCTCCCACGTTTAATCCTTTCTGGTTCACAGAGATCGGCATTTACACTTCCACACCGTCAAAAAGAGAAGAACATTTTAGCTCCCCTTTGTAAGCGGATGCTAAGAAAAGCGCAATATCCAGCAGCCGCCGAGATCTGCTCCTCTGAAACGGCCTCATGAAAAGACAGTTGAAGTGTTGAGGAGGGAGGGAAGGAAAGGAAGGGAAGTCACAGGCTTCCTGCTATTACAAGCCAAATTTAAACCCTTTCTACATCACAAGGGGCCCTGTTGTTGGCAGTAGTGCAAAGAGTAGGAAAATTTGGTAGATACGGAGTCTTCATTACACGTAAAAGACAGCTCTTCCACGTTAAAGACGAGGCGCTCCGGAAGAACGCGGTGGGGAAGGCTCGCTCCTCTCATTTCTGGTACTGCCATAGGGATACGTCAGCTATAGCACGACCAACGGAAGCCTTTCCGCGCGGGCCGGGAGCTGGCTAAGCACTTCCAAAAACCCCATCCAGAAGAATCTGAGCTGTAGAAAAGGCCTTGCTTCTCCAGTACTCCTGTCTGCTTACCAACGCCACAGTGCTGCTACTTCCCACACGCCACCTTCACAACAGGAACAGAAAAATATTTCTGTCTCCAGCTTGACTACGGATTATAAAAGGAATGTCAAAATTTTTTTTAAATAGTTTTTACTGTAGTTAACTTAGCTAGAACTTTAACCACCTTCAAATTCACCGTAACATTGTTAACTATTAAGCACATTAATTACCTGGAACACTTGATTCCATACAGTTCCTCAAATAACTAATTAGCTAAAATGATGAAGGACTGGAATCCCAGAGGAAATTCTTCTAGCTCTGTACAACTCCATAGATTTTACCGTGCTAATTGCTACGCTCCCGACCCAAGGCCAATTTAGCTAAACGCAGGCGACAACTGTCCCTTCATCTATTTAGAGGCAGACTCTTAAAAACAAACAAATAAAAAATCCCCACACTCACTGAAGGAAGTTAGTGCGTTTAGCACTGGATATCCTGTTTAGTCACCAGAAATTAAAAAGAGTATTTGAGTAACACTAAGGGAAAACTTTTGGTTCCCTCATTTTTAGCACACTGAACATCTTTCGTAACAGGTATCTCTCTTTCTGCTTCCAACATCACGTATCACAGGGCAACCAAACCAAAGGCAACCACGTTTCAGACAGAACTTAAAACTGCATTTCTGTTCTGTCAAGCCACAGGACTAAGCTGCATCAATGGAAATCACTTAAAACTGCATTCCTTGGCACTAACGTTAAAGAACGCCTCTTCACCTCCAGTATACCACAGTGTTCACAGCCTCTCTGCTGTTGTTCACCACATCAAGCAGTTCTAGAAGGACTGACATGGACGCTAAGAGACGCAATGCCTTACTTTTCTTACCCTTCCCAAAAACCCTCCGTACCCTCTCGTTAGCTGAATCCCACATCATCCTTGTATGAGGTAAGGCAGGCAGAGAGCGAATGAACTGGGAAAAAGGTCATCAGGGAAAGCAGGATAACGCACGCAGCAATTAGTTACTTTGAAAGAAAAATGCAAGTCATTTAAGGACTAGCAAGTAACTCGCAAGATCTTCCAAACACTGAAAAACAGCCTTTCCTTTCTCCCTCCACGTAAAGTCTATGTTATGATCTACTGATTATTTTTGGCAACGAAAAAAATAAAACTAGATGCCTTACAACGTATTTCTTGCATGTATTACATACATGGCTTTTTGATCTGTACAGATTTTGATGTACCAATATTTACTGTAAACAAAAGCAGAAGGACAAGCAAAAAGGACTGCAAGACAGTACGCCGTGGGGCGGACCGCCCATGGTCCCCGAGCCGCGCGCAGCTCCCTAGCCCTGCAAACGCAGCCCCCGCAGCGGGCACGTTATGTGATTGGCAGCAGGGCTGTGCTGGCACTGGGGCCGCTGGGGAATCCAGATCCCTCGCGATGAGGAGGGAGAAGCCAGCAGAGGCTGCCGAGGCCGAATTTGCCCTGTTATGCGGCCGCACGCTCCGCTCAGCCCCAACCCGCTGCAGGGCAGCGGGAGCCTCGAGGAACCCACTGCTGCAGCCAACCTCAGACGCACTCCCAGGGCCGGTCCCCGTCCCTTGTTGGCACTCAGGCTTTGCCCAGGGGATCTTTGGGCTCTCGGTCTTGCACGGACTTTGGTATGCAGCTCGCAGGGTTGGGAAGGTTATCCACCCATGTAATACACCATTCATTATGAAAGCTTGGAAGAACTATGTTGGTAATATGGATTGATTTTTTGAAAGGTGCCAGGGATCCCTGACCTCTGTTTCTATCAGTGAATGTTTCACTTAGCATCTAATGTTGAGAGCTACTATGGCAAAGTCAGACCTTGCAAAACTTTTAAGCCATGAAAGTCTTTTGACAGGTCTCTACTAACATGAGCGGTCAAAATAAGGGAAGATAACTTGCGTGAGTAAAGAGATGCAAGATTGGGCACTTAGGGAAAAAAAAGAGTTGTCTGGGACGAAGAAATTACTCCCTACAGAGAGGAGCTAAAAACATGTAGCGCAGAATGTAATTTATTATGAATCAGTCTGAACTTTCTTCCAAAAGACTGTGTACCTTATCCCGAACTAGCGTTTAGGGATTAGGAGGAAGTATTGTCCAGGCTCCTTGGCTAAACATTTAGCTCAGACATTCTTACTAAAGAATTAACTACTGAAAGACTAGTGAAAGCTTAACTAATCTTTCCAAAACCACAGGATTTACAAAATAAATGATATTGACTAGAAAGTAAAATATGGTAATATAAAATGATTATGTTTGAAAACAAAAGAGATGAAAACAGTGATATCTAAAAATGTTAAACAAATGAACAATAAGCTTTGAAATTCCAGCACCTAGAAGTTCAATCAGAATTATTTTAGCGGGTTTTGATATATTCATATACAAAGATGGCTTGCAAATATAAACTAACATCCAGAAGAATCTCGTCCCACTCCCTAGCGGGGCTAGATGAAAAGTTAGCAAACACAAATCTTCCTCAGACAAAAAATAGATTTCCATTTTCCCTAGCTTAATGCCATTCCCTCTTTACGACTATCAAATAATTGAACAGACTTTAAGTGTAAACAAGAAGAGCTCTTAGGGACATAATTTAACACAATCATCTGGACAAGCAAGCACAACAGAAGAAAGAAGAAAATCTGACCTATTACCCCCAAACTTCCTTTTACAGTCTTATTTTGTGAAGATGCAAAACCAAAAGCCTGATTTGCTCTAAATAAAGAAAATTGCATTCATATTGTACACTAACAGGAGGCCTGTTTACAGCAGTATGAATCGATGTGCTATAGCAGAGGTAAATCAGTGTCAGCCATGTTGTGAAAGAAACTGCAGTTAAAAAAAAAAAAAAAACTTAAGCCTTAATCAGGTTGGATATACAGAACCTTGATATAAACCATTTTATACCATTAGCTATTATTTATTATTGGTGCGTGACTTCTTCAAGTTAATGTCTATTAATCTCATCTAAAAATACACATCCAAATTCTAGAGATCGTGAAACAGTAGCAAGAAGAAAACATGCCAAGATATAAAACAAAACCAATGACTACTGTGTGGCACACACATGTAAGGTAGGCTGTAAAGTAAAAAAAAAAACAAATGCACTTACTCAGCATTAAATCCATTCACATGCAAGATCCTCATCTGTTTGACTATTGTGCTTTTACCGGATTCACCAGCACCTAGAAAATGAAAGTAAATCAATTTCAGAAGGAAGCATGACTGATGAAGGGACATGCTAGATTTTTTTCTTCAGGGTAAAATCCAGAAAGCTGATTTCCTCAGCACAAGAGTGAAAAGTGAAAGAAAAAGAAATAATTGTCACTGGAAACTTCAGTTGGAGCTAAAAATAAATACCCAGCTCAAGTCATGTGTCAGATCTGAATCTTGGATCATTTCACTGTCCATTTTTCCAGTGTCAACGTTAAAAGCAGATTGCAAGGCTTGGAAGAAAAAAGGACAACTTAAACATTTTATAGAGGACAAGAGAGGGAAAAACAAAATCTGCTTATGCGGTCACCGCTTTCGGGTGCAAAGAAAGACTAAAGGGAGTCCATATTAAGTAGAAGCATTTTTGTTAGATCCTTAAAACATTTGAAGCTTGCCTGCAGTTATCACCACCCAGTCAAAAGACTATAACTTAAATCACACAAAGTAAAATGTATGGATACTCACATCTGGAAAAGGCAGGCAACCCCTCCACCCACACAGCTCCCGAAGCCTGTTTCTCCAACTCGAGCCTGTACGCAACCTCCCATCCTCTCCGCATGGTCCAAACCAATCACGCACCCAACGAGAGGCAAAGACCACCTCTTGCGGCCGCACGCGCCGGACAGCCCCCCGCCGACCCCCTCCTGCACCAGCAGGACAAAACAAACGAACAGACAAAAAACCCTCCACTTCACTCCAGTTTCCATAAGCGGACGCGCTCCACTGCCGCGCAGGGCCACCCCGCTGCCTGTAGTACCCATTTTTCCACGCATGCTAAGCAGACTTGAACAACAGCATTTAACCGAGCTGCTCCACGCTGCCAGATCAGGAGCTTTCTATATAAAGCAAGCATTTTTTTTTTTTTGCAAGAGCAGTAGCATAGCCTGGGAAACCACAGAAAGATTCTCTTTAGCATCTCCCGGCTACTTGCTTATTCCTCTCACTAGCCTACGTTTCAGCGAGAGAAAACGTATGTCCGTGGCAGAACGGGCAGCGAGGTACGGTTTGTATTTATAGGATGCCAGGCCTCTCCTAGCACACGCTGACAGCACCAGCCTCCATTTTGAGCCTCATGTTCATAACTGTATTTTAGCAGTTATATTTCAAAGTTCGCTTCCTGACAGCCGCTCTCTCCCCTGCTTTCCCCCTTCCCCTCCTTCTCCCTCACAAATTCCTCGCAGTCCTGTTCTTCTCTCCATAAAACCCGCTTGCATGTTTTGCTGTCTCAGGACCAGGCCTTTTTCTCTCCTTTTTGTTGACAGACGCTTGTAAGCACAGAAAGAGCAGTTTTTATCTACAACTCGGTATGCCAACACCATCTCCCTCCTAAGCTGCTACCCTGCAAGGTACCCGGCGAGTCTCCTGCCCTCCCCTCCAGGCGTACCGCCCCAGGGGACCGGGTCCTCCTCGCAACCCAGAATTACGCAGGAACGGTAGTACACGCTCAACTATGATACTTCCATTCAGAACAACAACAACATTTCAGCTGCAACTCTAAATTATATCTTATAAATAAAAGCACTGGAAGCCAAAATCTTTACTTAGTCCAAAAGCAGGGGGAGATTGTTGTTGCTTTTACTATAAATGTATACTGCTTGGCATTGACATGCCTGGGTTCTCGGATACAACATCAGTGAACCAAAATTAAGTATTACATACAAATTCTGGAACAAGTGTATTTCTATATTTGGCCACCTGTTAAGGCCCTGTTCTTCCAGACAATTATGCATACGTTTAACTTCACCACCAAGGATAGTTCCATTAATTTCAGCGAGATTGCTCACAGCCGACAAGGGAAGCAGGTACATAAGAGTAAGGCCCACAAGCACTGTAAAGGTATCAGAAAATTATTTAGTTGCTTTTCCTTGTTATTTGAATATGATGTGGAGCTATTAAGAATACTTTGTATTTCCAAAGGACTTGTGTTTTTTTTTTTTATTTCATGTGTTTTATAAAGTAAGTAAACATAACAACAGGGGCATGAGCTTTTTTATTTTTCACTGTTCTGGATTTTCTACAAAGCGTGACACTACTGTTAGAAACCACAACACTAGAACGATCACAGGAAAATGCGCACACACAGATGGCCTCAGAGCCATTACTAAATACCCACAATTTTTATTTGAGTATCTAAACTAGTTTTCAGTTACCAAAACTAAAAAAGAAAAAAAAAAGAAAAAAGAAAATTCACTTAAAAATCACCAGGTTTCTATTTTTCAAATTCCAACCCTTAATAAAATAAGCAATCTGATGGTATACCATTTCCACGTACATACATAGTGTTTAGCCTGAAATCTGGTAGGCCACTTTCCCCAAGACCTGAAATCCAAGGTATTCTTTCAAAAGATCTCTGCTGCAACAGTGGCAGACTTTTCACTGCTGCAAGCATTGCTATAGTCCTAGTTATTTCTCCATTTATGTGAAGCCTCTCTCTTAAATTAGCACTTAGAAGATTTTACCAGGAAGAGCACGCTTCTAAATCCACACCCTTTAAAGATTTTTTTTTTTTTTTTTTTTTTTTTTAAGATGAGCGTTGTTTCACAGCAGAACAGAGTCGGTTCGCTGAGGCCTAACCTCTCGTCCACGTTAAAAATCCCGCATAACACTCGCAAGCTGCCCCTCGGAGTGACCAAAACAGCTAAGAGCTCATAAATGCACCTTCTGTTAAAATCTGTTTTAAAAATACCCTAAATCAGTCTGACAAACGTTTTCTTGTTCACTCTCTGATAACGGACCTTCCCCTTCCTTTAAACCATAATCTCTATTTCTAAATATATCTAGTGGGCGACACGACACGTGCAGGTCACCTAAACTACCCGTTAAAATAATACACGGGACCGAGCTCTAAACATTCCCCTCCCTCCAAACGCCTGCTACGTGAATTCACGGTGCCACCAAAACAGGCGTAGCGAGCGTGTCCGAGGCAAGAGTAGGTGGCC